CTTGCCTCCAAGACGGCTCAATAAGCCGTCTGCCAAGGCCCTTAGTCTATTTCAGCACAAAATGAAAAACAGGGAGGGAGGGATGAAGGCATCGATAAACACCTTTGAAACTACAGAGTTTAGAGATTAACAAAGTGTGTCTCATTCGGTTTATGAAATGTTCTGTACTGGAAACTCAAATCTGTGACAACATATACAGAACCAGCCCTTTGAACACTTAACAATGGACAAAATTTTTCCTGACCAAGAAAATAACACCCTTGAATGCAATGCAGTTTGTTTCTCTGGAGAAAGGAAAAGAAGCTACCTTTTCTACAAGAGATCTCTATGACTAAAGTAGACCTTTTGAGCCCTGGTGGTGCAGTGGTTAAATGACTGTGCTGCAGCCACTCTCTTGCAAACTGCGAGGTTGTGAGTTCAATACCAGTCAGGGGCTCAGGCTCAACTCAGACTTGCATCCTTACGAGGTCACTAACATGGGGACCTATCTTGTTGGGGGCAATTATCTTACAGTTGTAAACTACTTAGGGAGTGCTTAAGAGAACTGATAAGTGATATAGAAATGAACTTGCCTGTTTGCTTGCTTTTGCTAAAAGAAATTAGGAGTTGAAGTTTGAAAGTACGAGGGGTATCATAAAGTTTTAATTATCAATGTGAAGTTGTAGGCTTTCATGGCCGGCATCCATAGTTTTTTGTGGGTTATTCGGGCTGTGTGGCCATGTTCTAGAAGGGTTTCTTTCTGATGCTGGTGAAACATCAGAAAGAAACATGGCCACACAGCCTGAAAAATCCACTTTTAATTATCACCTTTTAAAAAATTGACAGAAAGTTTGTTTTGATTTGTAGTTGTTAACTTATATCTACGTAGTCACCATCCAGATTTACACATTTTTCCTAGTATTTTCCCCAGCATATTTGGGTGGCAGATTCAGCAGCAAAATCCATGCAATAGTATCCAAACACCACCTGAATTAGAATTGAATTTGGGAGAGGTAAGATGCTTTATTTTGGTGGGGCGATAGGCTCCTAACATGGCTATATCTTTTAATTTTAATAACACAGTAATTTTTTGTTTAAGTGTGGAACTAGAAAATATATTTGCTTTTGAACTTTCTCCTTATTAATGCCCTAATCAATCTCTCTCTGATTAATTGGGACAATGATATTTTTCCCCTGGCATTTTACCATTTTGATTACAGGAAAGACAAAATGTTCTAGAGTCAAGTTTCAGTCAAATAATTGGACAACTGTGAGGAGAAACAAAAACAACAACAACAAAACCCAGCACATTGTTTTATAACCCTTAAGACATTTGCTGTATTTGGTTGTTGTTGTCCTTGCTTTAGTTCGTAAGAATCAAACACTGTTTATTTGATCATTGGATAGGAAATTGGCTTGTTCAACATCCATTCCTTCACCAGCAAAATGGAGGTGTCCTGTTCTGAAGAGATAATGCAGATATGTAAGTTCCTTGAATATTTTAATCAGTTGTAAGCCATTTTGAGTCCCAGACTGGGGAAAAGACAAGATATAAATAAATATAATGGCTGGAATCCTGTTAGGAACATATATCTTTGTATGACTTTCATCTCCAGGAATTAGAATTGGGCAGTTGGTAACACCATATACAGTAAAGGACTGTTGTTATGTTGCTATGTAATAAAGCCAGCAAAGTGACCAATGTGCATCAGTTCCATTGTGCACTGGGATGCCAGCTGGGGAATGCCAATGTGCCGTGGTATGTTCTTGCTAGTGTTCCATCATTGCTGTTGTTGTTCTGTGCCTACAAGTCATTTCTAACTCATGGCAACCCTAAAGTGAACCTATTGTGCAGTTTACTTGGCAAAATTTGTTCACAGGAAGCTTGCTATTGCCTTCCTCTGAGTTTGAGAGCATGTAACTTACTCAAGGTCACCCAGTGGGTTTCATGGTTGAGCTGGGAATCAAACCCTGGTCTTTAGAGTTGTAGTCCAGCACTCAAACCATTACAACAAACTGGCACTTTGGTGTTCCATTATGCATCCTCACAACTCACTAACAGGGTTTCTTGGTACCTCTGCTATGTGATCCTGAGCTCTTGGAGGCCATATTAGCAAAGTAATGGAGTATACCAACGGAGTGTACCAACCTGACAAATAGAACTCTAATGATGATGAGAATAGCTGCAGTCTGCTTGGCAGGGTAACTATTTGCATTGATTAAATCATGGATCCCCAGAGTATTCAATATACAGTGGGTCCTTGGTATCCACTGGGGTTTGGTTCCAGGACCCCCATGCTCAAGTTGAATTAAATACAATGGCATAGTAAAATGGGGTCCCTTATATAAAATGGCAAAATCAAGGTTTACTTATTGGAATTTATATATTTTTAAAATATTTTCAAGCCATGGATGTTTGAATCTATGGATAAGAAATCCATGGATAAGGAGGGTCAACTATATTATAAATATTAGGCATGACTGAACAATAGGTATACTACAAAGTATGTCCTTGAGCATGAAAGTATGCCTAAGCACAAGCATGCTTACTCTTCCCACCCATTCACTGCTCCCCCACCCAATCCTAGTCATTCCTATCAGACATCCAAAGAGTCAAAAGAGCAATGGAAGTTGCTTTAGACTGGCTCTTACTATTAATCTTTCTAGCCCTATGTTGTTGACACTGGCTTAAAGTGGC